GGACGATTTAAGATTCAGTCATATGTAATTTGTATCTCACAATCACAACTCCTTGTGATTAACAAATCACCAAGACTTGAATCTACGGATTCTATTATTTAATTTATTAGAATATTAATTCAATTAAATAATAGATATTGCCATACATATGCATTGATTATATATATATATTCAAAGTGTTTATGTCCAAAATTGATTGGACCTAGGGCATAACACTTACAAATAATACCACAATAAATTTTAGATAATTAGGAAATTTTGAAGTAAAATAATACCAAAGCTTATTTGATGTGAATACATCTGAGGACGAGAATTTATTTTGTTACAATTTTCGTTTTGTATTTGGCTTTTCTTTTTCTTTCTAATAAATACACAATCCGCGTGGTTGGATTCAAATTCATAATGTGATTATCCGTGAAGTTGTTGATTTTGTTATTTCTTATCCTTCAAACAATCTAAAGATAGTTACTCTTATAGTTTATCGGGCAGGATTACATAGAGTAACATGATCAGATAATTAATTGGAGCCACTGACTTCACGATTTGTTCTTAAGACAAATTTATTTCCTTCTATGGTGCTTAAAGGCAGTAAAAAATTGTCTCCAACATAAAACGAATTTAGGATCTTGTGAAAGCAATACAAGACTCAGTAAGAGTTCCAACAAATTGAAAATAGTGCTTTTGTACTCGAAGAACAATATTGGAATTTAGAGAGAAGTGAAATTCAAAGCACAGAATTTTTTAAAATGAAAATTGGGTAATTTTACTGGCAGTAAGACAAGCAACTTATAGATTGCCGCCGTTCAAACAGTCTAAACCTCAGTTATGGCTGTTTAGACAAGCTTCCAAAATGAACAGAGATGTCTGTTCAGACTGAAACCACACGTATTTTAAAGTCGATTAATAAACTTTTGTTATAGACGCCTATACTAGAAAAATAGATGTTGGTCACAAACAGTCACAGACATATGTTTGCGCCGTTACACAAAAAGACATCAGTTTTATTCCAAAAAAAGTTTTGTGGAAACAACCAACAGTTGGAATTTTATAAACCTTTAGATATTACTTCATTAAGTACCAAGAATTTGATTTACTATAGCTGGCCTAGAAAATTTAAAATAGATTTTGTCCAAAAAGATGTATGTAGGAAAAGTGACCACACCTAACTCGAAGTAACCCATAATGAACCTGTGCACGTGTACGTGTCGTGTCAAGCTGGTCGGACGACCAAAATGCAACGGTGCACATGAACTTTGGACCAAACCGAATAGGATCTACATCTTTCACCTTCTAAGGACTAGTGGAACTCCCTGGAGCCAAAATCCAACTGTCAAACTTTAACCTTATAAACCAAACAATATTTCCTATGGTTTCCTATGTGAACAAATGTTTAGCAATTTCAATAGAATTCCCACATGTTTCGGGCTTGAAATCAAATCAATACAAAAAATAACCAATTTCACAGCAAAAAAATTGTAGCAAAAATTGAAATTTTATTGCAAAAAAAATTTAGCAACAAGAAGATGTTTGTTGGGGGAATTATCATGCTATATGAGTAATGGAATATATTTTGCTACAACTCTCGTCATTCATTGCATTAATAAACTCGCAACACTATTTATTTTGATGCAGAAAGTACGAAATAGAAACAAAATAACTGTGACATAATGTTGTCGCAACGTATATTTGTTGCGAAAAATTAAAAGGACGGCAAGTTAGTTTGTCGCAACGATTATTCCAATAATTTTTTTGCAAGAAAAATATTTGTTGTGGATATTATTTTAAAAGAATAACTTTTGTTACCCATTCTATTTTGCAACAACACTTGCTTGTAGTGATTATCTTTAACAACAAATCATGTTTGCCACGAAATATGATTTACAATGCATTTGATATGTTGCATAATATATTTTAAAATATTCAACATTTGTAGTACAATTTATTATGTTATAAGTGGTGTTTGTAATTAAATTTATTTCGCAACATAAAGAGTTTATCGCATCATCATTTGTGCAACAATGTATAGTTGTTGCCTAATTTTTATTATGTAACAAATGATGTTTGTAATTAAATTTATTTCACAATACAAATAGTTTGTCTCATATTTTATTTTACAATATATAAATTTTTTACGTAAATTATTTCGTCACTGAGGATATTTATTTATATGACAAGCAATGCTTGTAGTTAAATTTATTTTGTGACACAAAGACTTAATGTAACCTATTTTATTAAAAACAACTAATGACTTTATAAAAAGAATGCTTCAATGTACAATTATTAAAATCTAAATGATTTTCAAAATATATAAAAACTCGTATTAGTGTCAACCAAATAGATATAGACTTTAGTTACCTTCAAAACCAAAACCAAAACAAATACAAATAAATTATATTTTAGTAATTTCATGTTCGAACTACTTAGTATGGTTCACCAAACCTTAAAGAAAAAAAAAGAGGAGATAACAAATAATTCACGAGACAACCAAATAATTTTCTTGACTGAGATATACTCTCAACTCTCCCTCAATCTATTACTTGGTTAAATGAGAATTCCTGTAAGGAAAAACTCCCCAACTTAAGTCGAAAACAAACATATAAAAAGTAGTGAAATATTAGCTAGAAGAAAAATATATCAAATATCTCGTATTAACCAGGTTGACGATGCAAAACATTCAGGTTCATTTCCTTCAAGTTGTCTGACTACAAATTTAAATCAAAGTTCAAATGCAAAAAAAACTAGTTGCCATTTAAATTTGAAAAGGGATAAATTGTGCCTTACTCTCTATAAGTACAAGCCATATTGCATAGTCTAAAATATAGCTTCTTGATAATGAATACACTACATCATAACTCAAAAAATGGGCACATCACAATTCACACATGCAGGTTATAAACATAAAATTGTCAAATGCATCAATTGAGTAAAAAATAAATAAAAAAATCATAATGGCCTTCCAGGATGGAATAGAATTTCAGGTCCTCCAATAACTTCAACAACACCATGCGCAAGATGAAGATGAAAATAATTCAATTTCTTTGAAATCAATATTTATGTGTTTAAGCCATATTATTTTGGAAGAATGTATTTTGGAATAGTAGATTGATGGAGAATGTGTGGTTGAAAAAGAAGGAAAAATTATTGATGTGATGAAAATATTATTTTATTGAAGAATGTGTGGTTGAAAATGAGTATAAGAATGAGAATGAAAAAAATAATGTGGACCAAACAAGGCATAAAAAGAGGACCAAAGGCACTCTTTTCTGTTACTTTTAATATTCATCAACGAAAATTTATAGATGTGATGAAAATATTATTTTATTGAAGAATGTGTGGTTGAAAATGAGTAAAAGAATGAGAATGAAAATATTAATGTGGCTCAGACGGGGTTTAATAAAACAAACCAAACAAGTTCCATAATATAAACATTCTAAATCAATAAACTACCTAATAGAAGTCAACAATGAGAAAGGATAAGGAATAGCTCCCTGATGAGCTGCAAGAGCCTAAGAACAATGTCAAGACCATTGCTAGGTCCTCGAGCTAGCTCAGCAGGGAACTTCATGGCCCCAAAAGGACCTCTAGTTCTATTGCATACATAAAATGTACCAGCACTATGCCATCTACAATCACAAACAAGACAAATCACGAAGGTCGCTCAATAAAAAATTTCACTTGGAAACAACGTAGGCACATAATTGCTAAGAATCACACATGGAGTCAAAATGTTTGAAAATGTATAGTTCATCACACAAACTATATAGCTAGGAGATTGTGTAAATGAAAGAAAAAATGGAAACCATACAGTCAGAAAAATAAACTACTTACCTCAATATGGTTATTGATATTACCATTTAGTAGTACATCTTGGTTCTCTATAAACTCCAGACAAAAACATTCACTTGATGTCAGTTATCAACATGCATTTAACTTAAGCAAGCATACTTCAAATCCATTTTTAGTTGTATATGTCAAATATACACAATAATATTCAATAAAACTCGATGCATGTGAGAGGTTCTCACATTATATAGAACAAAAATCATAACTAAATATGGTAAAAGCAATCTACCTGTTTATGGTACAATTATAATTATAATATAATCATAATTTTCGACAATCTCCGTAATATTATTCAATCTCATTGACATCCCCCTCAAATTGATACTGGTAAAAGTATCAATTTGCAATCAAAAACTGGCGATAGTGACTATTTGTGCCTACGAAATAGAAATCCAAAGCAGAGCAATTATCTATGAAAATTAGTGACGACGAGAAACCATGAACAACAAATAGTGCAGTAACCAACAAAGAACACTCCAAAGATACTCCAGAGAACTTACACTTCCCAAGAAGAATTTCCAAAAAAAAATTCATGAAGTGTGCCGACACACACAGTGAGTTCTATATGTCGGGAGAACTTAGTCGAACGCATAATTCGGGTTTCGACAAAAGCTCTAAGCCGATACACCAGTGGAAGAAATCCCACCGAATAGCCTACACCAAAAACTCAAAAGTGATCCTCCTCTGAGAATCCAAAACTCTAATTTATCACCCCGAGTAACGAAAACTCAATGGTTTACACTCACCAAAAGTCAATGGTCCGCACTTCAATGTCTCTTTTTTTTTTCAATTGTAATATCAGATTATAATTACAAAATCCCTCGTAAAAAGTAGTCAAATATGTTTCTCCCTAATTTTAGGGAAGAAATTTCAATCCACAATAAAATTGATGAACCAATTAACCATAAAATCAATCAGCCCAATTATCTATACCCCAGTTAAAATGGAGAGCTTACTAAACAAAGCCCAAATCCAGCCAAAATCAACCCAATAGCTATACCTCACCTCAAAATATATATCCACACATAGCCCACTACACTACACTACAACCCATGGCCTATTCCATAAATTTAGCCCATCTATAACCACACGATACAAATATATCTACAGGCCAAATAACCTAAATCCAATCAATCCACATAAATACCAACTCAATCAACCCTAATTCATCGCCATCTCATCTCGCTGGCAATGCAGACTTCTTCTCAATGATGAGCCCAACATAAAGAACCCAACAAACTTGTAACCTTCTTCGGCCATTCCCTTCACTGTAGGGAAAATTATAGATTCCATGATCACGGATTGAAGTTCTTTCGTTAAGACAGATGTCGAAGAGTATACTCCCATTCCACCCTCATCAATAACCAACACGACCACTCTTTCTTCTGAAGCAGGGATCCCATTATTAGATGAAAGGCTGTTAAAAGCAGTGGTCTGGGATTTCAACCTCCCCCGGCAAGACAACGGTAAAAACACCAGCGAACTTGAAACATCAATACTATTTTTTTTGGCAGCATCAAAATTGATTGGCCCGACGTTAAAACAACTTTGGTAATTATTGGGACTGAAAATCTTTGCCACCTAATGTCGGAAGCATGTAGATTTTCTGAGAGGGGATTGAGAATGACAAATATGTAGACAAAGGCTCTTAATTTGAGGCTGATTTTGACCGAGCGAGCAGCCTCGAACAAAAATTTGCAAGTTTAACTCAAAATGAAATTAAACTAGCTTTGATACAATGTCAAATATATACAATAATATTCAATAAGATTCTATGCCCCTCTATGTGAGAGGTTCTCACATTATCTAGAACCAAAATTATAACTAAATATGGTAAAAATAATCTATCTATATATCGTACGATTATAATGATAATATAATCGTAATCTTCGATAATCTCCGTAATCTTATTTAATCTCATTGATAGTATAGATACAACCTAAGAGGATAGAGGGATGTATGATTCGGTTACCGCCAAAAATTTGATCAGTACTGCCTCTGAAGATTCGAATAGCGCTTTGTTAAACCATTTTTCCCAAACAATTTGGTTCTTCCATCTCTGAGGGGAGGGTAATTAGAATTTAGCTCATGTAAAACAAAAGAAGATATATCTGACAAGTAGTGTATAGTGAAGGGAACTTATTCAAGGTTTAGGTAAAGCCATTTTTTCAAAAGTGCTTGAATAGATGGCTAATATACCTCTTTGAACTCTTCATTTACATGTTCTTATGTAGTCTCTATTGTAGGTATACAAGAGATCAAGCTAAATAGTTTGGAAAGATTACTAAAAAGACATTGAAAATATACCTATCAAACATATCTTCTTTTCTTTCCATGAGAATAAGAATATAGAAATTACCTCCTGTTCGTGTCACATAGCTATCTGGAACTCCATAAGAAATTATACAATTATATAGCACAATATAGGGGCAGCAAAATTTCAAAGAAAAATCAAGTTTAAGAAAAAAAGGAACTTTTTGTAACAACATCGCTATCTACAACAAAAGAACTTTTATACTCAACAAAGCTTCCTAGTCTTTTTGTTAAACTAGTTAGATTTGAACGTGCAATGCATGTTATTTTCAATACCAATTTGTTGGGAGGATTTGATGTGTCTCAAACAAACTAAAGAAAATAAAATTCATGATGGAAATTTAAGAGAAGTAATTTGTCCTCTCAAAACTTAACTTCTACGATTCAAACTTTTTTGTGATGATGAAATACTACAAATGAGTAATCTTTTTATACTACATTTGGTATATAAAAATGAATTGCTAATACATGAATTTAACACCTATTAAAATTCTTTGATATATAAATAGAAATAAATTCATCTATAATAACTCTAAATTCATATAATAACTTTAGATTCATGTAGATCAAGATTCATCGAGTCAAGATTCATTGAGTCTAGATTAATGTGAGTGTTAATTAAATAAGAATTAATAACCCGAAATTCATACATAACAATGATTATGTAGTATTTATTACATATTGAAAACTGAAAAGTAGGGTATTATTGAGATAATTGAATTATATTAGGGTTAAAATTGTACAAAAAAATTATTCTTACTTGATGTAACGTTTAATACATTATATATAAAATTAAAATCAAATACCCAAAATTGGCACCTTGTGCACTTTGTTGCCAACTTAAACCACAAAATCATTGAAAATGAAATAAAGACAAGAAAATTAACAAATTCACAGACATCTAAAAGAACAGAGGAAAATTATCTATCAAAATTGATGATTTGAAGATGAACTCAACAACAAAGGTTCTCAATATTAAAAATGAAGGACTCAATGTATAACTTTCACACTTTAGCATTACCACCTTTGAAGCAAACTCATACCCCATATATACCATTTTGCATACTCAAAACATAATAACAATGCCAATAAAAATCACCCCATCATCATCATCTATCCATATATTAACTCCTCAATTGCGCACGACCAATCTCAACAATCACATGATACTAATGATAATTGTACTCCTACATTTAGAACGTATCATACTTTAAAATGGATGAAAGTTACTAGTTCAACCCTAAAATTACCTAGGTGAATAACGAGGAATGAGATTTATCAATTAAAAGCAAATATTCACTTTTTAATTGTTCTAGATGTTTAGTTAATCAACTCAAATTATCTTAAGTTGAATTGCCGCAATAAATAATCACAGCAGTAAATAACACAACATTTGATGACAGAAAAACCCTACCAAGCCAGTAGTTTCCACTGTAGATAATAAGAACTTACAGTACTATCCAACCCAGAAAACCCACTAGACTCGCCGATCTACTTCCTGCAATCTCCAAGACCCGCTGGAACGTGCTTCACTCACACCTGCTTTCGATCTTCTGAAATTGTCTATCTCCTGTGGAACACCAAGATGCCTCGTTCTTGTACTTTTCATGTGCTTCTGATCCAACCTCCCTCAAACTTCAGCAACCTCTGAAGGTTATTGAGAAAGTACCTTCCTGATAATATTTAGGAAGTTGGTGTTTTGGATTATAAGAATTTCGGTTTTTTTTTCCTAACTCATGATTGATTGATCTCAAGAATCAAAAGGTTAATCTCAAGATTTTGATGTGTTCTTGGATCTTGAAATATATTATGAAGATGTAAAATAATTATCAACCACACTTTTGGACGTTCATAGGGTATGATATATATATAAGGAAACATTTTTGTGTTGAAATGGGATTGAAAAACCAAGTATTTGAAGTAAAATAGATTTCTGATCATCGACCGTCTCTCGAGCTCCAAGCCAGCGATAGGCGAGCAACAACTAAGCAGTCGTCAGTAGTTTTATCATAACTTTCTCTACCGTTGTCCGATTGAGGTGATTCAAAATATGTTGGAAAGCTAACTCAAAGAATACAATTTGTATAGCAATAGCTTTGTCAAATTCCAATGTTTACTATGTGAACAATGCGTTGTAAGTTATGACTGAGAATTTGGAACATAACTTGTGCAGTTCTTTGATACTCTTTAGATTTCTAATTGCATTCTTTTGATCATATGCGATCTTGTTAGACATCTTGAACTTTTCAAGGACTATATTACCCTCCAAAAGACTCCTTGACTTTTACAACTCTTTTGTAACAATTCTATTATTTTACAACAATCTTTTTGTCTAAAAAATTGCTAATACAACTAAAAACATATCAATATCTTCATTTGGCATTCTGTGACAAAATTATACAATCAAAGTCAAGGATGTAAAAACAAAACTAATCTACCCAAACTCAAACTGAATGTCTGTTTCTTGCATTTCTTGAAACCTATTTTTTGAAATCAATAACTCAAATACTAATGTAAAAGCACGTGATATAGAAAATATAATAATTGAAATAAACTATCATATGTTAGTTAGATTGAGAAGTAATACTAATGTTAATTAAAACACAAATTAAAACATTAATATCACAAAACATTAAAACTCAAAAAAGCTAATTATTCAAAAATATCATCTCCCATTCAAAAAAAAAAAATCTCCCCCTTACTACAAAATAAACTCAAAATAAACTACGAAATAAACTAAAATTTAAATGCATCTCATCATCTCCCCCCCCTTTTTGTCACAAATGACAAATGTAACAATAAAATATAATAGCTCAAAGATGCTGTTGATAGCATGCAAAAGCTTAATCAATGATCAATAAACTTTCTCACATACTCAGTTCAAGTTTAAATGGAGTAAATTGTATAAGTGATTCATGTGCATTAAGTACCACTACTTCCTTGTGATCAAGACTTCAAATCTTATATTTGTGCGAAATGACATGCTAAATATCATTGTTAAATAAGTATTCCTCTACTAATGAAAGTCAAACCATTAATGCATATTAGGACCTATAAATAAATCTCATTTTTCATGTATATTATTATTTTCTCCTCCTTACTTTGAGCATGTATACATTTTCACAGAATTTATATTTTCCTTTTTAAGATCAACATTTTTCTTTTCAATCTTTCACATCTTATGTGCAGGCTCTTCTCAATTAAATGATTAAGATGACCCTGTAATGAGTTTTGGGCCAATGACTCCAAGTCAGTTGACCATAGGACATCAGGTTATGAGAAACCCCTCAAACTTAATTACTCGAGTCAAATAGGTTTTGAAAAAGAGTATAAGATGAAATATTTTTATTTTATTTAAGGGGATATACTAGAGTTTAGGTCTACTAAATTAAGGTCAATCCATGTTTAAGGTCACCTTACCAACAGATGACGACCATCAAAAATCTCACACACGTCGTCAAGACTTAGTCATAAGATCATAGTATGTGCAGATGGTATATGAAGAAACATATATTAAATACTCCATGTCAACCTAAACAAAGTAATGGAAAATATACTACAACACATAATTTAAACTCATACTTGGTCACAAGATACATATTCAAGTAAATCATTTATCATGTTATAGTAATGAATTTGTTATTTCTGGAGTATCTCCTTTCAAATAATCTGACAGAATTACCTTAATAAATCTGCACAGCGTAACGGTATGATCAACAGAATCAAAAAATGAATTTGAGTCCACCGACTTTTCGATGTTTCCTTAAAACAAATTTGCTGCCTTCAAAAGGGGCTTAAGGCGTCCAGCAATCGTTTCCAATGATAGAACGAATTTCGTCTCCTACGGCAGTAGCACAGCAATCTGTAGGAGTTCCAGCGAACTCAATAAAGTGTATTTACTTCGAAAATAATATCAGAACGAGAGAGAGAAAGAGAGAGGGAGAATGAGATTCAATGCAGAGAATAATAGAAATGAAAATTGTGCAATGATTTTGGCAACGGGGCTGGCTATTTATAAAATTGTTCATGGCCATTCGAACATCCTTCAAGCCACTATTCAGACAAGCCCAATATCGAACAGACAGTAATGTTCAGTAATAAGTCGGTTCGCGGACCAAACGGTCGGTTAACGGACCACCCAAAAAATTCCCCGAAAATAAGCCCATTAATAAAAATTAATTTTATTAAGTACCCAAGAATTTGATTAATTACAATTTGATCCAAAACTAAATAAATTTTGTCCAAAAAGATAATATAATATAAGGACGCACCCGCATACGGACCGGACCGGGCTCTGGCACGTGCTCGTGTCGTACCGAGCCGAGCCGAGCCGAGCCGATCGATCAGTCTGAGGGACGGCGGCGTCGCGCACGTGTGGGGTTTGGACCGAATCCTATAGGATATAGGTCTCCCTCCTTCTAAAGAATATTGGTACCCCTTGGGGCTCAAACCCAATTTCCAATCTTACACTATATAAACCACATCAAAATTTCATAACTTTCCTATGTGGGACAAGTGTATGAGAATTTTCTAATAAATCAAATTCGTGTTTCAAGCGGGTTATTTTGACATTAGATATTTCATTTAATACTAAATGGTTTTCGACAAATAAATATATCACGTTAATCCTCTTGCGGAGTAGAACATGAATATGCTAAGTCCCGTTGAAATTAAGGCATGGATCCCACTGAAATTTGGGTTCAAAGTTGACCCATTTCACTAGTATTAAAACCATTTTCCAACAGTCCCCCACATGAATGAAATATGTCGACTTTATTTTTCAAACAACATCTGATATGTATTCGAAAGTAAAACTGAAGAAACCTGTATCGGGATAAGTAGCCAAAGACTTTGAACTTTCCCTAGTAAAATCTATTGGATATACTTAGCCAATCAGTAGCAA